GTGAACAGCATGTATTAGAACCTCGATGACTAGCTTCTGAATACTGAGAAGTGCCGATGTTGTTTCGTGGAGCACGTGTTGCCATGTAGCGGAAGGATTCGATCCGCTCCTGGACGTTTCTTTCTGTATTCCCCACCAAGTTTTCTGGTTGTTGGCTGTAAATATCGGCAGTGTTTGTGCACTTATCGTGAAGGAGCCTCCAGGTAACGACCACACACATCTTCAGGCTGAAAGCATAACTTTTCCTGTGCAATTTCTCTCACCCAGAAGATTGGCTCTGGCTCTCCATCGACCAAGATCCCTTGAGGAGGCTTTTGGTCGTAATTACATGGAGCACCCAATTCACGCCCACAGAAACGATGTCTTGCACCCTACAACGCTCGCGTCCTCTTCTGAGCAATGAGCGCGTTACCCCACAGCGATCTGCAACCTGGTTACTGGCTAGCTGTGCGATATGCGCAGTGACACTTCCGGCTCCGGCCGCAGATGGTGTTGAATCGCGATTTTTAGAAATCCAATTCTTGACGAGGGTCCTTGCACTCTTTGCTTAGAATGGGCTTGAAGTCTTCAACAAATCGTTGCTAATATCTCAGGTTTGCGTCCTTGACCTTCAGCTCATGGCTCTCTTTTTTAAATCGGCTGAACCAAAACGTCAGAAAAGAACCCGTAACTTGGGGCATCTTGGCCTAGCACAGCATACGATCAGTCAGGAAGTTCCGAACTCTCACAGAAACATTCCACTCTTTTGGTGGAATATGATGGCAGTTATAGGCGGAGTCACATACACGCTTCACATGTGGGATTGAAAAATTGTCGTACTAGCTAACCTATCCCATCGTGAATAGTTTTCCGACAAATCATTTATTTTAGATGATCAAAGATTAGTTGAGGCGGAACTTTTAATGTTATTGTAAAAACTGACGACAGGTTCAAGTGAATATATTATGGCTAGCAGAAGTTAAATGGTAGCGCAGAACAAGCAGAATTTACTCTGCGCTCCTTCGCATTACGATGTTCCCTGAAATTTTATGCAAAAGTGTTCTTGGAAACAAAAATCTGGTCTCATTCTGGCATGATCGTAACTTCCTTCGGAGTTCATTTTTCCAATTGCAGGCCTGACCAAATATGTGTCTCTAATCCCATGGTGGAGATGTTCAAGCTGTTACTAGGTTTCGGATCGGTCGTTTGTTAATCGATCAATAGATGAGATGACGTTGGGTCAGATTACCGAAGCCGTACATCTAGATGCCGGTAGTATCATACATCTGCTCGGTGGCGTTACGCTCGACAGTGAAAAGAGAATAGCAGGTTGGTTGCATAAGAGGTGGCTCTCGCAGAGCCTTTTTTAAGAGCTATAGTTTCGCGCTATTTCACCGAAGAGGTTTTTCAACCCAAAACTGCTGACTTCTCATGAAATTATACTTTGAGGTGCGAAGGCGATGATGTTACCGTATGCCTTGCGTCATTCGGCCGTGGGCGAAGATTGGTTGGCTGAGCAGTGGGAGCTGCGACTTGCCGATTTCTTGCTACATGTAAGTTTTTCCTGTCCTTCCCTTTCCTATGCATCGTGTCATCGTCACTTTCACTTTGCACTTCACCGTCCATAGGAAGGCGACCTGTGGATTATGGGTTTAGGCTGTTTCCTGCGAAGACGAAGCCGCCGTCAGAGAAAGGACAAGCACCACATGAGAGCGCATAGCCTCTGCGCGCTGTTGATACCCAGCTGGATAGGTTCCATGCTGTGCCACTCATCTTTGTCTCACCTTGTCAATGAACGCGAGCCAATCTTAACCCTTAGACCATGACTTTTTCAACAGAAAACGGTGCCGACGTGTCTGGGCGGTGAGTAGCACTCCTAGCAATGAATACTCAACTGTAGAAATTTGACACACGTACGTGGAATTTGACCTGGGATTTGATGCGCGAACGCGATGTGACGGCCACATCTTTCATCACATCACCTCCACCCGTTTGAAAAATTTATATTATTAGCCTGATTACTTTAAAAACACACTTTCTACATTAAAATCTCTTACTGTATGACTCTCTTGTAAATCTCTTACCGTATGACGAATTGTTCCCGGAGCGGAAAATCGAAAGTTGCTATTCACGCACAACTCTGCTTTCCAGCAGCAACTAAGCCACATGTGGTCATGTTGAAAAATCTATTTCGTGGATGAGCGAGTAGCCCAGTATCACACACATGCCTTTATAGCGGCTTGAAAGTGCGTGAGAAAGGCGCTAGACCTTACAAATGATCTGATGGCGACTAACATGAACTTATGGACGAGATAGCTCGCGCACACCACGTGATACGCAGTATGGTTACCACGTAGTGTCTAGCTCGAACAGACGACAGAGCCATGGAGCAAGCTTGCCAGACAACTGGTTCGGACGCGCCTCTCTCTCGCTTGAAGGGGAAGAGAAGGAATACTTGATAATGGCTTCATTGGCGGTTTGCTTCGGGTTTTTTTTTCATTTTCTGTAAGTTTGGCATTCACGATTTCCATATCGACCACTGATTCCACAATGCCAATTTGATCTAGGGCTGTTGCTTTGAAGGGGCGCCGCTGTCTCAAGAGTTTCTTGAAATTGTGGTGGTATCATTTGACTACGAGTGGTACACAACTATACCAACAGTAGTAAAAAGATTTAATGACTTCTAGCCACAATAGGGCGGCCAACGAAGTCCAGCTATACGCGATATATTTGGCAGCTGTGGTTCGTTGTGATCACAGCAGGAGTATGTATACTTGTATAAGTTGCATATATTAGGTTGTCTCATAAGTGATGTCGTTTTTTTTCAACCAAAAAATTTTCATCTAAATCATGAAACTTTTACATCGTTTTATATATCATTCGAAAGAGAATTGTCTGCTCTACAAAATGCTGTGTTCCGCTTCCACCGCTATTTCAGAGTTTTCGAATTTCAGGCCAGCAAAATGGGAGGTCTCGCCGACAAAAATTGACCAAACCGACAACTAGCTCTAACTTTATTTTCCCTGGGGAGAAATCAATCAATGATGTACCCTCTACTTACTCATGACCTCTTCTAAACATTCCACTCTTAGGTTGCCGAAAAAGCTTTGCCGTTTTTCTTTTCGAATTGGCTGACGGATAAGCCATAGCAATTTTCAAATTAAAATTGTTCCTCGTAACGTCCATTGTTTCATATCGAGTGGTGTTCCTTTTACGAGCACTTCTTCTGCTCTACTCGCTCATTTGTTTTGTTTCTCTGTTTGTTGGGAATTAGTTCGAATTTTAGATGTTTCGGTATAAGGTGCTTTACCGCGAAAGTGACCACATTTCTTTGAAAAAAATTATCCCTTAGAAAATGAGAAAATCAACCAGTCGTACATTCCTAACTTAGTCATGACTTGTTCTTCAAATTCAACCAGTTCTTCAACGTCTCGGCCATAAAAAAATTTCGACCTAGATCACAGGTAATGGTGCTCGATCGTCGAGTTCTGGTTGAAAAACCAGCTCTGGAAATTGAACGACGCGATTTGTAGGAAAACCTAGTAGTGTAATGATTAGAAGAGGTCATGCATAAGTAGAAGGTACATCATAGATTGATTTCTCCCAAGGAAAGATAATGTTAGAGATAGTTGTCGGTTTGGCCATTTTTTGTCGGCCGGACCTCCCATTTCACAGGCCCAAAATTTGAAAACCCTGGAAGAAATGTGGAAGTGGGACATAGCATTTTGTAGAGCAGACAATTCTCTTTCGAATGGTACACAACACGATGTAAAAGCATGGAGGTTTAGATGAAAATTTTTTGGATGAAAAAAAGCGACACTGTTTATGAGACAACCTAATACACACGCCTAAGTAGCCGAGAAGGTATTACGATAGAAGTCTAAGAATGATAGAAAAATAAAGCAGCTGAACGTTCATATTTAGTACGATTCCCCTGTGATCCGTGCAAACTGGTGGACTTACGAAACACTGGCCGCAGAGAGTGCGAGAGATCGCAATCAGCTGATTAGGTAAGAATACTACATTTGTTACTTTCGATTTTCTAGAAATTGCGACTTTCGAGTATTGCTTGTGTTCGTCATGCGTTCCTCGTGGGGTCTGTCGCCGTATCGCTTTTCACCATAGCGATGTGCTGCGTGTGTTCGTGGAGACGGTCACGACCTTGGTGCGTGCTTAGTCTGACGAAGTCTGCCAGTTCCTCACGTTTAGAAATGTACACTTTTCAGGCTCGCGGTCGGCGGAGTCATTTCAGCGGCAATGGCCATCGCTTCTGCCATTGGACTGTTGCTTCTACTCGGTTTCGGCATACCAAGCTGTCGCCGATTCCAATGCCGTTCATAAGTATTCTTACGATTTTCGGAACTATTCGAGGTTTTGCCTTTCAGTCACATGTGTGTTAATGGTGGGCAACGGTGCGCCTGATTGAGCTGAGAGCAAGGGCAGGGACTCTCTCCGTCTGTATTCTTCTCATTGAGTCACTACCAATTCTCACATTCCTACCTTTTTCCCAGAAGTTCTCTGACAGGCCCTACCCATAAACTGGTCACATTGTCCCGTGATCAATGATCTTTTTACTTTGAGTGCTACCCTGTATCGGTGAGAAAGCGCGAAGAGATGGACCGATGCATCGCTCTATACGATTGCGCAAAATCATGAATTCATAGTTGGAATAGCTCTTCAATATTTACAGCGGTGGCCATCTGCGAGTTAAACAATCTGCATACTTGATCAGCTGGCGTTTACCCAGAACTCTCCACCTAACACGACCAGTGCTTTTCAAGATAAGTGCAAGATCGCGAGTAATTCACGGAGCTGCCTAATGTGTAGGCCCGCAGCTTTTGCGGACCAAAAATTAAAACGGCAGCATGTTCCTGGGACATGTTCGGTTTTTCTTTGCTTGAGAAAAATTTTGATTGGGTGTCATCTCACTCGCTGATGAAGTGAAGAGCGGTACTTGACAGAATTTCTAAGCATTCGATCACGATGGTCTACGTGAAATCGGAGATGGCTTTTGTTTGTGCCTACTGAGGATGAGTTTGACCACAGAGTTCCCTCCCTTCCCGCTCCGCTCATTCGAAGGACTGCACACTTTGAGCATTGAAAACTCGAGCAGTAGTTCTTGAAAGGGCGGATACCTTGGTTTTTTTGGATGCACTGTGTCGGCACAGAGTCCCGAAAGAAAACTTACTGTATGATGTGGGAAGAAACTTGTTGATGAAAATGAAAGCGAAAACAAAAGAAAGTCTGACATTGTGACCTCCAAAATGTGCCTAAAAGGTCCTTTTCTGGATCAAACGACTGCAGCCAATACAGTAGCGGTCAAAAGTCTTCGCCGAAATTGTTTTTCGACTGTAACTTTTTTTCCGCTGAATCAAATCAATTCAAATTTTAATATGTTTTAGAGATAGTCCTACTTCACTTAAACGGCATATTTGTTTCGGATTGAGAAAGAATTAAGAATGGAAAAAATCATTTCACTAGAAATTCTCGCGTATGAGCAAATTCCAAGTAGGTTTCAAATTACTCTAGCGAGCTTACAATTCAACAAAACAATCTTACGCATGATGAATAACACTGGGCAGGTCCAATACTTTGTTAATGATCTTCTGGGTACGCTGAAATACTAACAAGGCCTAAGTAAGGAATCAGTCATTGAATGCACTGTCTACTAAGGGCAGCTTCCTCCACTTCTCTTGAAATTTGACGAGTTTCTCGCCCATATTTCCGGCTCTTATTTTTACCAAAGGTATCCCTAGTCTTTCCCATAATGTTTCGATGGCGCTCGGGACATTGGTGTGAATTGTTCCCTTCGTTGAAAGCGCGCCATGCTGGCGAAGCCACTCCTTCACAGTAAAGGTGCGATGCTTTTCTTCGCACTAATGCTAGAAGGCGAGCTCAGTTTTGACCAACTGTCATACATGTGGATAAGAACTCCTTCTAGAACCCAACTGTATAGGCTGCCTTCACATGATTGCGAATACTGCGAAGTTAGTCGGCGGTGAAATGGTCGGGGGCGAAATGGGCTTACGCACACCTAAAGTGGGGATCCCCATAGGGCTACAACGTCCTGCGGACCAACGAGAGTGTATTCAAGATGTTTACCGGCGACTGAAATAGGAATGTGTGCGGTCCTGAGGGAAAACGTTTCGATCCAAGGAATTAACTGCCGTATGTAAAACTTGGCGGAGGCTCGCGTGTGGTAGTCCGTAAAAGAAGTTTTACAACTGCACAGGATTAGAGAAGTGGAGGATGCCGACGTATCAGATAGATTCTGGAAGGAGTTTCGTATTCGCTCGTATGAAACTGTACGTGACTGAGTTCGCCTTCTAGCTATAGAGCGACCAAAAGCATCGCACCTTCACTGTGAAGGATTGGTTTCGACAGCATGGCGCGCTTTCAACGAAGGGAACAATTCACACCAATGTCCCGAGCGCCATCGAAACATTATGGGAAAGACTAGGGATACCTTTGGTGGAAATAAGAGCCGGAAATATGGGCGAGAAACTCGTCAAAGTTTCAAGAGAAGTGGAGGAAGCTGCCCTAGTAGACAGTGCATTCAATGACTGATTCCTTACTTAGGCCTTGTTAGTATTTCAGCGTACCCAGAAGATCATTAACAAAGTATTGGACCTGCCCAGTGTTATTCATCATGCGTAAGATTGTTTTGTTGAATTGTAAGCTCGCTAGAGTAATTTGAAACCTACTTGGAATTTGCTCATACGCGAGAATTTCTAGTGAAATGTTTTTTTTCCATTCTTAACTCTCTCTCAATCCGAAACAAATATGCCGTTTAAGTGAAGTAGGAATATCTCTAAAACATATTAAAATTTGAATTGATTTGATTCAGCGGAAAAAAAGTTACAGTCGAAAAACAATTTCGGCGAAGACTTTTGACCGCTACTGTATGTGCTG